ACACCTACAGCATCTTGACTAAACTGCATCATTTGACGCACATATTTGCTTTTCAACAGACCCTAGGAGAATATATTCACTAAAAAGTTAGAAAAGAAGTAAATTCATTTTGTACTACTACCTATAATATTGCGTAAAAAACGTGATGCGTTTGATAAAACGACACCATAATGATGGTTATGATGATGGGCGTAAACCAGACTTGATATGTTGACGAAATGCAAAAACCAAAGAGTACATGAGTTAGGTTTAGCCATTATCCATACCGATCAGATAGATAGAAGATTGATGAGAAGGCGATAAACTAGTTGATCAATTCATGACTGTTTTTAACCACTTAAAACAGAAAAAGACATTTTTATCATAATGCAGTTGTTAAGCAGTATAGTAAGAGAGCAACTCTAGCTTCGATAGACGTTCAAATGTTTTTAGTTTAGGGGAACGTGTTTTCCGGAGGCAAATTAATCCGCTAACTGGGCTGACTGGATAATACCTTAATTTGTGTTAATACTGAGTAGGGGTTAACAATGAAGCTTAAGATGCACATTACGTTCTTATTCGAAACTTGTCATGCGCCAGTCCGTAATTAGTGATTGTAAGTTCTTGCTTAAAGTGCTATCTTTCCACTTGTATCCTTATTTTACTGTCTTTTCTTTTACTTCAGTTAGTCTTCTCTGTTCGCGACATTGCACAGAGAAGTAATGTAAACCCATGTATTCGAATGCAACGATCTATATCGTTGTATCTGTTCCATCGCACATTAAGCTAGGATAAGTCCATCTATTTCATTTTATGTAAGGACTGGTTATTCTCATACATTACAGTTTGCAAGCTATTCTGATTAATTGGCAAGAAGGGTGAGTGCGAAGTTGAAAAGGCTTAATAACCTACTTCATACAAACAGCTTACATTTTTATACACAGTCCGGATCAACTGTTCGTCGAATTCCCTCGAAGTTGAAAAGAGTGTTTCAAACTTGAAACGATGCATAGCAACAGGACCTGATAGTTTGCCACTAGGAGCGTTTAAGGAAGGATGTAGGGAATTATTGAATAGAGTAACGAAAGCACTAGGTATGGGGATCAGAAGTAGTCCCGCCAGACTGGTCTACTTCACTGACCATCCCAGTCTATAGGAAACGAGCGAGGTTTTCTGATGAAAACCACAAGTGGATCAATCTAACTAATATCGCATTGTCACCCGACACGTAACTGGAGCTTGAGAAAACCAGGGAGGTTTCAGACCTGGAAGAGAGTGCCCCGGTCACCTTTTCATACTTCATCAGGTCCCGGGACATAGGCATAATTAACGGTGACTCGTACTTTCCAAACTTCTTGATCAGAAGTGGCATTTAACCCTTGTCAACCGTGGTATTGTAGCAGTGTCACCACTCCTGTTCAGCTTCGCTACAGATGTATTCACGGGCATAACCTTAGATACCTCTGACTTCACACAGATCAATCTACTCCCTGGAGGGCATCTGAATGGCTTGAAGTACGCAAATGATTTTGTCCTGCTAGGTGAAGATATTGACAAAATGCAGGATCGCTTGATAGCGTTAAGCAGAAATCTGTGTATATTCGGTATGGGTTTCGCACCTGTCAAGTGTAAAACGATGCTCCAGGACTGGACCACAACTACTCACACTTTTAGGATAAGGAGTGGAATGTCAGGATGCCTTAACTACTCCACTTACGGGGGGGGGGGGGGGCAACAGCCCAAACGGACTGGTTGCTGATGAAGTCTCAGCTCGAATGCAGAAGGTTCGTTTGGCATTTTGCCAACATATATCAACGCTGGAGCCGACCGGCAGAACATCTGACTACCTATTAAAAGACGGGTATAATGCGCTGCAGTCCGTCCTGTCCTGATTTATGGGTGAGAGACATAGTCGTTAGAGGTAGATATTACTACAAGTTTCTTCAAACTATTGCTAACGTATGGTGGAATCGCCGCGTGCGTAATACCGAGGTTAGGTAAAGGGTGCTAGGCAAAAAAGGGGAAGCGGTAAATGAGGTTTTGAATCTTCAGCGAATAAAGTGGTTTGGATATGTGGTGCGCATGCCAAGCCATCATCCCTTCCTCGACGTGCAAAGTTAGACTGGGTTGTGGAAGATGGATCAGGGTGACCAGACTAAGACGCGGCACCAGTTCATGAAGTCTCTGACTGTTAGTCTGAGCTGCGTACGGGGGTTTAGACTACCTGGTTGCGGGCCTTGAGATTAAAGGAATCAATACTTGGAGGTTCCTGTGAACATGGCTGAAAATCAGTTACAATGGTGCAGATGTATTTACTTCTTGACATCTAAAACCTGAACATTTTCACTAACCTTACTTTTCAATTTTTTCCCCTCCTATACATCTTTGGCTACTTTGGTATCACTCTTTTTGTATCCACTCGTTCTTTGCGTGCCGCTGTGAATTGTGGCAATGTGAACCTACATACCTCTGTGCGGGGTTCCACGTTGATTCTGCCTGTCTAGCTCAGATTAACAATCAAAGACTTCATGGTCTGAGCACTCTTAATTTTCTTCCAAAATTAGTCCTGCTTAAGCTAACATGGTACATCGAGGTTTGTCTGAGATCTCCATACACTAGCTAATACCTTAATCACTCTAATGAGTAACTCTACACCTTCATTCTTAAAACTTTTTGGTGTCACACCGTCAGGTCCTGCTTTTTGTAACAATCTTCTCAAATTCGGTGAGATTTTGGGGAGTGATATCTACAACCTGTGAAGGTTTGGGCTGTATGTTGACAAATGGAGCGTAAACCAGTTGAATTGTTCTTCAAAGTGTCCCGCCCAACATCCCAGTCTCTTGTCCCGGAAAGGCTATTAGAAACTCCTCTTCCTCGACAATGGTCGCACTGATCGCCTTATTATGACAGTGTCTTTAATAAGGCTACATCACCGTTGAGTATTATTATGTAGGGTCAATGCATTCTCCACCTTTTTCATCACCCATCAATCTTTACGATCACGATGGAAACTCTCACCACGCTCATGTCTAAGCTTCTTTCACCCCCTCTTCGTGAATGGAGACAGCCAAGATGGATTTACTAACATCACTGAGTTCAGATCAGGCTGTAGAGATTGACTGTTGTCAACCAACCTGCGATCATAGGTTACCAACTGTTTCTACTGTTGTTCTCTCAGTAAACTGAATACTATGTCACGCTTTATGCGGATGGAGGGTGGAATGCAAGTCGAGACCAAGGCCTAGCAACCTTCTCCCCAAATGTGCACGTGACAGCCAGAACTTCTTTTCTTGGATATACACTAAGACGCAGAAACACACTTGCACGATCAGTGTTTAAGAAGCTAGTCTAAAAAGAGTGACAATCTTTCACTGATCCTCCCCAACGATAGCTTACAGTGCTATTATTTGTCAGTATCCACAGATGATCAGAATTCGGTGGACACTAAGTAAGACAATATTGTGCAAGACGATCACCGTTTTCTTTCCATCGACTAAACTTTCTTACTTGAGCACTGAAGTCACCGAATACCATGACTATGTTTGAGAATTCAGCTTCATGTAGTAAGATCGATATCTTTTAGTAAAATCCATTTTTCTTCACTTCACCTAAAGTGAGGTAGGTGAGTTTGTAAGCGGAGAATAGAAATAGGTATCGATGAGTGTCACAGTCATCACATCAACGACTATCAACTGAGAACCAACTGAAAAGTGAATTTTCAGCTCTGGATCTGAATGCGATACCCACATTAGTGAGAATTATCCATAGAATCCTCTGAAGAAATTTCGCAGACTCACCACATTGATCTTCTGAATAACTGCTACATGGATGTCCCACAGACATAGGATGCATTCATGACTAGTGAGGTCTGTTGTCTCATTTGGCATGGGGTGTAATATATAAATATAGAAAGTCATGAAACAAATGGTGCATTATGTTGCTGAAGAGTCACACGGGAATTCGTAAAGTCATTGAATCCTACAGTTCAACATTTGTTGCAGAATCTCGAAAAAATTCCACTGAGTGGCACTGCAGCGCTGGATGGTTGAAAACAGTCAGCAAAAAGCACTGTTCGTCTACTTTATATAGTTATTGGTAACAATTACACCTCATGCTCTCTTGGATATTCCAACTCAGAGGCAAACGTCGGGTCTGGCATTGTTGCGTACCAATATAAGCTGGAAAACTTGACGTTAATACATAGCGATGAAGAAATAAGGTAGCAGAAAGCGAAATAGTACACAAAATAGTACACAGAGGTAAGAAGCTATGCGATTAAACGTCAAACAAAGTAGAAAATATGCGATAGCAAAGTTTCCAACATTTGAACGAAGACATGAAGTAAGTATACCTACTCCACTACAATCTATTTCCAGTCATGTCGATTAAATTCTGTAACCAGTGGGTTACGGTAGTCTCACAAAGCCCAACCGGAAAGACTGAACAGTTCAAATCAATAGTCAGAGATTTCATCGACTGGTAACCATGTTGTCACCGTTGACATTTTTGCATCATAATCTCACTCTAGATGATGTAGTACGTTGAAGTAAGCGATGAATCACATTTATTGTGTGAGGGCTGGTGATACAGCCTCACTGCTCACACCTCGGTAGGTGTAGCGGGGTTCGAACCTGTGATCGACGGGTAGAAAGCCAATTGCCTAAGCCAATGAACCATATCTCCACATGGTGTGTTGACGCAGACGATGTCTCAGGATGTGGAACACATATCCTAACAACATCAGTTGTTGATCTCTAAAAGTCATCTACTTATCTCTTATCTAACATTTCCTGACTGGTTTTGGGCATTGCTCACACACATGCGTGAGAGTTGTCATGGCCTCAAGGTAGTTAAGATACTTGCAACCTTTACAAATACTCCAGCTCATCACACTATACATTATTACCACAATCAGCCACCTTGTAACATGAATAAAAACTTCATACTATTCAATTTATGCATACCAATATCACAATAAAAAGGTTTTTCTTTGGAATTTTTAATACTACCTACCTACCTACCTTTATCTAGACGAAGTAATCGTATTCGATTGAGTTCAACCTGTTGTTCTTGATAGGCTAGTTGATCTTTGAGTTGGTTGTATTGATCAACATCTAAGAGATGATCATTATGAACAGAATTTTTTTGTTTTGAAAAAATAGAAGAGAAAAAGGCAACAACAACATTAGGGTGGTTCATGATATGATATATGCCATTTCTTTTTGCACAAGTTAAAGAAACATCACTGGTACGCGCCTACACTTAAAAAAAACTTTTCTCGCCTTTTTTTCAAGAAGATAAAATAAGATTTCATATATTGATGCATTGAAAAGGAATAAATTCAATAAAACAACGAAACGGAATTGAAATACTTTAATAGATTCATTACTGATACAGATAAAACTTCGTTATTTGAGTGGAATACAAACTATCCTACCTATCACACATAACCATGTAACTCAACCCAGCGTACACTTTATGTATCAAGTTATGAGCCAAAGGTTGTTTGGCTGAGGACTTGTGATACGACTCAGGTAGGCAGGAGGAGTTTGGTGGGGCGGGGTTCGAACACAGGAACAATTGCTTGAAAGCCAAACACTCAGGATAATGACCCATTAGCCCATACTGTTGTACAAAACGGTAAACTGTGCAAATCTATTGATCTGAAATGTAAATTTAACGGCTAGTAAGCAGTAGCCAACGCAACACATATGCAGTTACCTGCTGTATTCAGCGTCTAATTTCAAAACAGACTAGCAGAATATATATATATATATATATATATATATATATATATATATATATATATATATATATATATATATATATATAGCAATTAAACAGGATAACCTTAAATGCATAGAACAAATATAGCTTAGGTCAGGGATTTCAGGTGTTTGTCTTCCTCATAACTAAATAACTCAGAATAATTCCTCTGCTTGCTGTAGCTATGTATGGCGAAAATAACTGAATTTCAAAATTGGCTTATCCATCCACCTAGTTCGACTTCAAGAGAGGGAGGTTACCCATCCATGCAGATCAGCTAGTCAGTCAGATTCAGGTGTTCCGAACGGTTCGGCTCTGTAAGCTGAATTCCTCTAGGTACACAGCTAGTGAGCTCAGGCACAAACGAGCGAAACCGCCGTCCGGTTTTCAGAGCACTTTTATCTGGCTGGCAAAATCTATAGAATCAGCTTCATTGGTTTTAACTACTTCAGCTATTCAGTAGTATATTTCGTGAAATCATGCATAAACTTGCCAAAAAATCTCATACAAAGGCTGAGGATGAAATGGAGTCGGAAAAAGTAGCGCGATGGGTGATGTAAGAATAAAAGAATGATAAAGGAAGAGGAATGTATTTCTTCGCACCACCTTTGATAATAAAACTAGACAAATGGTGGTTTGGTGTTCTCTAAACTTCGATATTTTGTCTTATGACCTATTTCTAATTCAATGGGAAGATTTACAAACAAACGAAAAGGGTACCTATATGATCGCCAATATCAGGAATGACTGCTGAAGCTGTGATGCAGCGTCTAGAATCAGTAGTCATCCCTCTTAATAAGCCGAAAATTTGGATTCTGTACGTCGATGACACATTCGTAATTCTCAAGGGAGATGAAGTAGAAAACACGTTCAAACTAGTCAACCAAACATTTGAAGGAATTCACTTTAAAAAGGAGGAAGAATCCAAAAACAGAATTCTACTCTTAGATGTCCCTATCAGCGGAACACACTATGGGGCTTAACAAACTTAAGTGTACAGAGCGACAAATTGTCATCCTCAACCCGAGCTGCAAATCTTTCCCATAACTTCAAAACTAGACAAATATTATCAAGGAAGATTAAAGCTATGAGGAAGTCGTTTTTAAACGCAAAAAGTACCTAAACCTTTAAACACCTAAAACTTCTAAAAACCTAAACATATCCTCCTGATGGTCAGTCAGTTCTACGACCTACTTCTATAATATATTCACCAATGGACGATATCTGTCTACAAATACTTCTGGTTCTAACGAGAAGCGTGCTTGTATGTCAATCAGTACAGTGTTCTAATCTCCTGTCGTCTGCGTACGCAACCAATGTGTTCAACACGTTTTAAATTTCAAAAGTGGCATTTCAGCTTTCGGTTCGATTTGCGCTTTTAGATTCATACTACTTATTAATAACGAATAGTATCATTAAAAACCCCGCCAGGTTAACAAGATCACTCGTAACTAGCCGGTCCTAAGCCCGGACAAAGTGGAAAGGTTGGGCGTAGGGCTAACAACCCTACTCCGGAAAACTAATACAACCGCTAAAGAGACTTCAAAGTACAAAGAATATAAAAAAATAAAAATAAACCTATTCCTCTGTGGAATCGGAGAAACGAAATGATGCCGGTTGGTGAAAGCATTCGAGAAACCAATTCACCAGTGTCTCTTCTCTCTCTCTCTCTCTCTCTCTCGATGAAACCGAAAGTAAACATGGGGACATGGAATATCCAAACAATATTTGAAGCTGGCTAGCTGGCAATGCTGCCCACATTGAAGAAGAGATGAGATGGTATGGCAAAGTGTTAGGAATCCGTGAGGAATCTGCAGATGGAATGGAAGTGGACTCTCCAAACTGTCAACTGGAGTTGAGTCAATTATCTACTCCGATATTGTCACCCAAACGACAACCACGAGCACATTGAGTTTTGGAGTGTCTCTCATGATGTCCCCCTCCCAAGAGCATCGAAGCCTCCCTCTCATGCAGTGGGAACCAATCTCTTCCAGCATCAGGATCAGGATCATGACAGCGAGACTCAAGTCAAATGGAATGAGAGTCACAACTATACAATTATACAATACGCTATGCACCTACAAATAATGCAGATCAAGAGGAGAAGGAGGAATTCTGCAGACAACTACAAACAGTAGTGGACAAAACTCCACCCACCTCAGATGATGACATCAAAATTCATCCTAATGGGTGGGGTGACATGAATGCCAAAATGGGAGTGGACAACACAGGAAGAGAACTCATCATGGGTAGAGAGGCACTCGGTGAAATGAACGGGAATGGAGAACTGTTTGCAGACTCCTGCGAATTCAACGATTTGGTGATTGTAGGCAGTGCAGTGTGTACAAACACAAGGATATTCACAAGGCAGCGATATGGAGTTGATTTCACCAGACACACTAGGAATCAGATCGACTTCATCTCAATGTGAAGAAAGTGGAGAGACAGCCAACCTACCACTGGACATAAGATCAGGTGAAGAAGGGGAGCAGATGTAGGTGGTTCACACCATCCACTATCTAGTGGAAGGAACCTGACTTCAAAATCAAGTTGAAAGCCCTGAATTCAAAGAAGCTGGCGATAGACCACAATTGAAGTTGAATACCTGGAACAGAAACTGAACTGAAGGAAGAAACTGCAAAGGACATCTTCATGTCGTCAGCCATCAGGAAAAAGTGGGAGACATTGAGCAACATCCCTGAAAACTTGCATGGAAGAATACTGGAACTCTTTGAAAGTCATGTCAAGGAAAACCTGCATGACCGTGTTTGGAAGGAAGAAGAAACGAGATAAGAAATGGAATGAATCTCGGTGGACACATGGAAGCTGATAGAGGAGAGTGAGGAAGATTGTGAAGCAGAAGATAAACCAGTGCAAGGATGAACAACGAAAAGAGGAACTGAACACAACCTATCAAACCTATAACACTGGACAAAGAAGTGAAGAAGAAGAAGAAGAAGAAGAAGAAGAGTGCGCGCAAAGACAAAAGACACTTCTAAAACACACTGACAAGTGAAGTAGAACAGGCTGTTGGTAAGAGAGACACATACCTGACAAAATTATATATATCTGGGAGGGAAGAGATCAACACAGTGCAGATGAAACCAATGAAAGATAGTGAAGGAGACTTGGTTAAAACCAAAGAGGAGAAAGGGAGGAAACGATGGGCCGACCACTTCAAAAACTCTTCAATCGACCACGACCATCTGCAACTCGTGCAGAAATACCGCCAGCAACCGCAGAACTACCAGTGAACAAATGGCCTCCAACAAAAGCCGGAGTCATGAACGCCATAAGGTTACTGGGTTCCGGGAAAGCAGCAGGACCAGATGGAATTCCTCCAGAAGGACCGAAGACAGACGCAGAGACATCAGCGGACACGCTCATACCACACTACTATTGCAGAAGGTTTGGTAAGAAGGAAGGAAAGGTACCTTTCGATTGGAACAAAAAGGCTACCTTGTCAAACTCCTAAAAAAGGGAGACCTTAGTCTTTGCAAGAACAAGCGTGAAATCATGCTCCTGTATACCCCAAGCAAAATATTAAGCTGGGTCATCCTGGAGACGAAAAAACGCTCTGCATTCAAAATTACCACAAGCAAGGGCTGGCTGCGTGGCTTCAGGGAGAAAAAATCATGTTGGGATCAAATTGCAACGCTACGCTACGCATCATCATAGAACAGAGCATAGAATGGCAGTCGACTCTCTACCTCAACTTCGTCCACGTTGAAAAGGCCTTCAACAGCGTCGACCGAGGAGTAGTTTGGCAATCGCTTCAACACTGCGCAGTGCCACAAATCTTTATCAACCTCATTCAATAGCTATATGCTATATGATGCTACATGCCAAGTGATTCAAAATGGGAAGCTGAGCGATGCCTTTGAGGTGAAGACAGGAGTAAGACAAGGCTGCCTACTATCACCAATGATCTTCCTGATTGTGGTCGACTGGATTATGCAACAAACTGAAGAGCGAGAAGAGGGGCATACGCTGGCCGGATCCATGAAAAGAGCCTAGAAGATTTGGATCTCGCCAATGATGATGACTTATGTCTAATGTCTTGTCGCACAAACTCGAGGATCTACAGGTGAAAACTAACAAGTTGAGAGAAGAGGCAGGGCAGTTAAGACGGGACTTCAAGTGAATGTAGCGAAGACAGGGGTGACGAAGATACCGAACCAACGCCACCATCAACAACAAGCACCAATCACCATCAACGGGAGAAATCTAAAGGAAGCAGCCTACCTAGGCAGAATCGTTTCAACTACATGCGGCGGCGGCGGACAGATGAGGACGTGAAAGCCAGGATCGGAAAGACAGCAGGACAGGCCTTTATTAACCTGAAACC